AGCCCAAGAGAAGTCAGGATACGCAGGATAAGCTTTTCAGGTTCATGTATATGACTGCCATAAAGGGCCCTTATCTGTGGGTTTTGCTGCTACAGACTCAGTCAGCCACAAATTGAAAATGTTTTTTTAAAAACAACATTTATACTGAACATGTGCCATCTTCTTTTCTTATTACTATTCCTAAGCAGTGCAGTACAACAGCTGTTCACAGAATGTGTTTTATAAATAATCTTGAGATGCCGGGCGCTGGTGGCTCACGCCTGTCATCCTAGCTACTCAGGAGGCTGAGATCTGAGGATCACGGTTCAAAGCCAGCCTGAGCAGGAAAGTGCATGAGACTGTTGTCTCCTTAAGTAAACCACTAGAAAACTGGAAGTGGTGCTGTGGCTCAAGTGGTAGAGCACTCGCCTTGAGCTGAAGAGCACAGGGAAAGTGCCCAGGCCCAGAGTTCAAGCCCCATGATGACAAAAAAAAAATCTTTGAGATGATTTATGCAGTGCTCAGGATCAGATCTAGGGCCTCCTGCGCATTAGGCAAGTGTTCTGTCATGGAGCCCATTGGAAATGGTTTGAAGTGTGAAAGGATGAAGATAGGTTATAAACAAACACTGCACACTGCACATAACGAACTTGAATTTCCACACATGTAGCGTCCACAAAGGTCTTGAAACCAATGCCTTGAGGATATGGAGGAATGCTCGTACTTTATTTTGAGGTCTCTTAGGACTCGTTTGCATCTAAATCAAACTAGATTCAACTTTTCACCAGAAACTGTTCATATATCTATAGTGGTGAAAATATGTGAATGTTTTTTATCCAAATTAAAAAAAATAGATCTTAAAGAAAAAAAACTATCACCTTTGCCATTCCTTCTTTCTCCCTCCTTCCCTCCCTCTCTCTCCTCCTTTGTCTCTCTCTCATGCTCTGTCATTTTTGGCAATACTCAGGTGTGCACGCTGAGCCTTACGTTTGATAAACAGGCATACTATCACTTGAGCCACATGACCAACCCCAAATAGATCCATTTGAAAATACTTTTGTGTGTGTGTCAAGACTTGGGTTTACTGGGCCTCCTATTCTCAGCCTTTTCCCTCATTGTTGGCACTTTACTACTTGAGTCATACCTCCACTTGTAGACCTGATTTGTCTGCTATGGCTGGCTTCAAATTCTGATTTTCATATCCTGAGTAGCTAGGATTATAGGTATGAGCCGTGGACACCCAGAATTTGAAAATACTTTTACCAAGGAAGATCTTTTACATTTTAGTAGCTGGTATGCATGAAATTTGCATGTGCTTTGTATATGAATAGGTTGATTTATCAGTCACTGAACACTGGAAGGCACTATTCTAGATACAGGAAATTCTGCATTTAAAACTGGTGAAGTGCCCACTTCCCAAAAATAAGGGAATATATTAAGTTATCTTAAGTTTTATATTCTGCAAAAGGGTTAATAGTGTTCTTTTGTCCTACCTGAAAGAAGAAAAGATATTTGTCTTACACAGGGCATCCTGGTCCGGGAGAACTTTGCTCCTTCAGGCTTATGAGTAGTTGGAAGCAGGTATTTGTAAGTGCCTAAGCTCTCATTCTCAGAAGAGGCCCTGAGGTTTCTAGCTTGCTTACATGTTCCTTCCAACCAGAAATCTTCCCTGTGGACTCAGCGCATTGCTCTATATGACTCTGTGTGTGTGTGTGTGTGTGTGTGTGTGTGTGCGTGTGCGTGTGTGTGTGCGTGCGTGTGCATGTGCACACACACATGTTCAAATGTGTGTTGGACCTGTATTTAGACACATACTTGCATGCATTCCTACCATAGCTAGATTTAAATTTTCCTGAGCAGTATCTCTGGTGTAGAAGAATGCTTTTTATATATTAGCACTGAAGCGTGCTCTAATTTGAATTTTTTTTGGGGGGGGTTGGTCGTGGGGCTTGAACTCTGGGCTTGGGCGCTGCCCCTGCGCTTTTCAGCTCAATGCGAGCGCCCTACCGCTTGAGCCACAGCTCTACTTCCAGTTTTCTAATGGTTTATTGGAAATAAGAGTCTCACAGACTTTTCTGCCCAGGCTGGCTTTGAACCGTGATCCTCAGAACTCAGCCTCTCGAGTAGCTAAGATTACAGGCATGAGCCACCGGCGCCTGGCTTAACTTGAAATTTTTTTTTTTTTTTGGGGTCCGGTCATGGGGCCTGAACTCTGGGCCTGGGCGCTGTCTCTCAGCTCTTCAGCTCAAGGCTAGCGCTCTACCACTTGAGCCACAGCACCACTTCCGGCTTTTTTCTTTTTGCTTATGTGGCACTGGGAATTGAACCCAGGGCCTCAGGTATGCAAGGCAAGCGCTCTACCACTGAGCCACCTTCCCAGCCTTAACTTGAATTTTTATAATGTCTAAATCTTCTCTTCTTTTCCCCAGTCCTAAGGCTTGAACTGGGCACTGCCCCTGAGCTTCTTTTGCTCAAGGCTAGCATTCTACCACTTGAGCCACAGTGCTACTTATGGCTTTTTCTGTTTAACTGGTACTGAGGAATCGAACCCAGGGCTTCATACATGCTAGGCAAGCACTCTATCACTAAGCCATATTTTAAACTGTGTTGTCTCTTCCCTTATTTTCTCCCAGTTTTTCCCTCCTGATCCCCCTCCCCGACAAGTTAAATAGTTCTGTTTTCCTTCATTACAATGCTTTTCCTCTAACTTCCCTTCTCCCTGTGTCATGGAGCATTGGTGAATTAAACAGGTAAATTGTCATTGGAAGTTCCATTTCATCTGAACCCAGTGTTGTTGGTCATTCGTATATCTTTTCCACAGAGCAAACAGATTTCCCATGAAATCAGCATTGACCTCAATGGATACTGCAGACTGTTGGGAAAGATATGTATCAACAATGAAATGTATCCAGGAATTCAGTGTTTTATGAAAGTTGTGTGATTGTGAACTGACTTATCTACTACATCTCATTAGTTGGTTTTTTTGGGGGGGCAGGGGGGTCCGGTCGTGGGGCCTGAACTCTGGGCCTGGGCACTGTCCCTCAGCTCTTCAGCTCAAGGCTCACGCTTTACCACTTGAGCCACAGCCCCACTTTCGGCTTTTTTTCTTTTTGCTTATGTGGTGCTGAGGAATCGAACCCAGGGCCTCATGCATGCAAGGCAAGCGCTCTACCACTGAGCCACCTTCCCAGTCACGGTTGGTTATAAATTCTGTTCAGGGGCTGGGACTCGGCTCAGTGGTAGAGCGCTTGCCTTGCATGCATAAGGCCCTGGGTTCGATTCCTCAGCACCACATAAGCAAAAAGAAAAAAGCCGGAAGTGGCGCTGTGGCTCAAGTGGTGGAGCTCTAGCCTTGAGCTGAAGAGCTGAGGGACAGCACCCAGGCCCAGAGTACAGGCCCCACGACCGACCCAAATAAATAAATAAATAAAAATAAATTCTGTTCAGTCTGTTGTTCCTCAGCCATTCATTAGCATTACTTTATACTTAACCATAGCCATTTATTTTAGGTTAAATATGAAGACTTTGTGTATGGGAAAGCTTTAAATTCATTAAAGTTGTATATATTGTAATACAAAATTTTATACATTGTATTAATCTTGAATTGCACATTTTCAAAGATGTATATTGTACATTATGGGATGGCTAGAGTGAGCCAATCAACATACATTTCCTCACATGCTTTTTGTGTTGAGAACACTTAAAACCTCGAACTCAGCCGTTTTGAAGAATACCATACATTAGAATTTTTGTTGTTTTTGATGCCAGTCCTAGGGCTTAAACTCAGGGCCTGGGCACTGTCCTTCACATTTCTTTGCTAAGGCAAGTGCTCTACCATGCTAGGCCACAGCTCCACATCCAGCCTTTGCTGGTTAATTGGAAATAAGTGTTTCACAGACTTTCTTTCTTAGACGGGCTTAGAATTACAGGTGTGAGCCAGCCACTGGTACTGAATTTTATTTTTGCTCTTTTCTTTTTTAAATTAATTTTTATTTTTTGTTTATGCAGTACTAAGTAATCAAACCCAAGGCCTTGTGCATGCTAGGCAAGCACTCTACCACTAAGCCACATTCCCAGCCCACCAAATTTTAATTTTTTTATGCATTAAGTAAAGGAGGCCATACAGAATGGAATGGAATAATGAATGATGAAATGACTAGTTGAAAAATTCTTATTTTAGGTCTGGGAAGGTGGCTCAGTGGTAGAGCGCTTGCCTTGAATGCCTGAGGCCCTGGGTTCGATTCCTCAGCACCACATAAGCAAAAAGAAAAAAGCCGGAAGTGGTGCTGTGGCTCAAGTGGTAGAGTGCTAGCCTTGAGCTGAAGAGCTGAGGGACAGCATGCAGGCCCAGAGTTCAGGCCCCACGATAGGACCCAAAAAAAAAAAGAAAAAGAAAAATTCTTATTTTAGACTTTTGGGTTTGTTATGGTTGGCACTATTCTTATATATGCCAAATGTCCTTTTATAGAATTATACGACTTTTCTGAGTGAAGGAAGTGGTGAATGAATGGATTATAAGTACCAGAATCATTGGGAAGGGGGGGTAGGTGTGTCCTGGGTCTTGAACTCAAGGCCCTTGGCTATTTTCACTCAAGGCTAGCACTCTACCACCTGAACCACACCTCTACTTCTGGCTTTTTGTTGGCTTTCAGTTGGAGATAGGAACCTCATGGATCTGTCTGCTTGGGCTGGCTTTGAACCTAGGTCCTCAGATCTCTGCCTTCTCAATAGTTAGGATTACAGGTGTAATCAGCCACTAGCACTATTGTATTTTGATAGTTTTAATGTAAGAATATTCACTAATATCTTTATGTCCTAGATTAGGGTTTTTTTTTCCTCCCAGGCCTAAATTCTTACTTTATTTCCATTATATGCTTATTTCTTATATATGTTGTAGTTATTTTTAGCTATTCTATTAGACATAAATTTTTTTAAGTTAAGGCATTCTGAGTGTAAAATTATTTAATTATTGGTTGATGTAGTGAAGATACACACGTTAACCCTTTAATGAACACCCACAGGTCTTGGGTCCCGCTCCAAGGTGGTGCTCCTTTTTGGATAACTTGACAGAGGAATTGGAAGAGAATCCAGAGAGCACAGTTTATGATGATTACAAATTTGTCACCAAGAAAGACCTTGAAAACTTAGGTAAAAAAAATACGATAAAAATGTTTATATAATTATTTTATTTCCATTTTTGGTTTTATTGGTTTGAACATTCAGATTAACTGAGCAATACCTGGGCAGCTTGTGGTTCACACCTATAACCCTTCCTGCTCAGGAGAGGCTGATATGGGGAGGATTGTGGTTTAAAGTCAGCCAGAAAAACTTAAGCGACTCCAAGTAACTAGTGAAAAGCTGGGCTGGAGGCTTGCCTCAAATGTAGTATCCCAGTCATGAGCAAGAAAACCAAGTGCAGGGAGCCCTAAGTTGAAGTCCTGGTACTAGCACCAAAAAATAACAATAATAACAATAAAAAAAAGTTAATAAAAACAGAACCGACAGAGCCTCCAGTCAATTTCAAATGTTTCTGCCAGTCAGATACTATAAATTGTCGGGTTTACAATTGGTGCTTAGAGAACATTTTAGGTAAAGTCAACATAAGCCTTTTTGAGTCTTAGATGAGAAATAATGTCTTTTACCATACTAGCTCTGTATAGAAAAAAATGCCCCCGAAGTATGAGGGCCTATATCCTTCTTGAGCCTATTCTCTATATCACAATTAAACTGGTAAGGGCAGAGGCTCAGCTGGGAAGAGTAAAGGGGGATGAGATGGGAGGGGAGAGGGGGTCACATGTGCAGGCAGATGCTTTCCCACACTCCACATCCTCTGCACTGGCTAGAGCATTTGGGCTACAAGGATAGAGGGCCTTCAGTTTTGCATTATTCAGTGACCCTGTCTACAGGACAGAACCCTAAGCTTCAACAGCTTCCTCTCATAGGTATAATAAGTTGATTGTAACCACATTTTGAAAATGTCTTAGAGACTGAAAGTAAATGGCTTGTGGTTCCCTTTTAGATTTGTTCCTAAAAGACCTAATTCAAAACTAAGAACTCAAATCTTAAATGCAGAAGACCCTTAATACAGATTGTACATTCTAATCTGAAAGCTGGGCACTGGTGGCTCACACCTGTAATCCTAGCTACTCAGGAGGCTGAGATCTGAGGATCATGGTTCAAAGCCAGCTCAGGCAGGAAAGGCTGTGTGACTTTTATCTCCAATAAACCACTCAAAAAAAAAATGGAAGTGGCGCTGTGGCTCAGGTGGTAGAGTGCTGTGGCTCAGGTGGTAGAGTGCTAGCTTTGAGCTGAAGAGCTGAGGGACAGTGCCCAGGCCCAGAGTTCAAGCCCCATGAACCACAAACAAACATTCTAATCTGAAATGCTTGAGAATTCACATTTTTTGAGAAGTGACATAACATTCAAATGTTTCAGATTTGGGAGCATTTGATCTTCACGTAGTGCGAGTTTCCTCACTCTGCTAAATGTTTATGTTAACTTCCAGAGAGGGAAGGTTTATTTTGGCTGACAGTGTTAGAGGTTATAGTCCATGGTCAGGCCGACCTGTAGCATTTAAGCCTGTGGTAGACAGTACCTCCTGGTGGAAGGCATGACACATCACAGAAGAAGAAGAAGGGGGGCTGTTGGGGGTCATGGCTCAAGCAGTAGAGAACTTACCATGTCAAGCACAAGGGCACCCCCCACACCCATGATCTTAAACACCCCCCCACACACACACACTAGGCCCCATCTCTTAAAAGTCTCCACCACTTCACACCACCACCACTCTGGGGAGCAAGCCTTTAAACTTGGCCCCTAGGAGAAACTCAAGATCCAATAAGGGCTATGTAGATGTTCCAAAAACACTGGAATACTGATGGTACCGAGCATTTCAGACAAGGGCTATAGCCTATAGCTACTTCATGTTTTCAGATCCCAAGCCCAAGAAATGTCTTCTAGAAATAGCAAACCCTTTTGCAAAGCTAATGAGTGCCAAGCAACATTATAAGTATTTTATATATTACCAGTTAAATCTTCACAAACATCAAATGGGTGTTGTGGTTCCATTTTATAGATAAAGAAACCAAGGCACAAGAAGGCCAAAGTAACAGAGCAGACACTTAACATTTCAGAGCAGACACTTAACCCAGGCTCTTTACCTGATCCACACCAGCTCTTTGAAGAGAATGTGTTTATCCTGCTTGCCCAGCACTTGTTTGTGGGATGAAGGGAGTAGATTTTACTTACCTTGTTCTAATGTTAGCAAAGGGCTGTCCAGCACATTAACTGAGGGGGAGTACATGGAAGATCTGCACTCCACAAGTCTGGGCAGCTCAGCTGTCTTGGGGACAACTAAATATACCTTAGCAGTTGAATATTAAAAGAGTAGAATCTTGTACTAATTAGAGCAATTGAGCAGCTCTTAAACTTTTTAAACTAAATTTCACAGCACAGTTAACCTATGCATAATTACTTTCTACCAGTTGCCACTGAAGTTGGTGGTTAACTTTTATTTTGCTTTTGACAGTACTGGCACTTGGACTCAGAGTCTCACAGTTGCTAGGCTGGTGCTCTATTACTTTAGCCAGGCCTCTTATCCTTGTTTTTTGAGACAAAGTCTCATTATGTATCCCAGACTAGCCTCAAACTCATGATCCTCCTCAGCTGAGACAGGAGGGTCATGAGTTAAAGCATCTCACTAACACAAAAAAATAACCAATGAATGAAATAGGATACACAGTTTATTAAAATAAGTTTTTTTGGTAGGTTTTGTGGGGGAGGGTTTTATTTTAATGATGTGCTTATGTTATACTCACCTACATCCCTAATTGGAGGAAAAAGTCACTATTACTTTGTATAGGAGGGACAGGGGTTCTCCTGCCACTCTAGGCAGGAGTGTCCATGAGACTTATCTCCAATTAACCACCAGAAAACTGTTAAGTGGAGGTGTGGCTCAGAGTGGCAGAGCACTAGCCTTGAACGAAAGAGCTCAGGGACAGCTCCCAGGCTCTGAGCTAAATCCCCACAACCAACCAAAAAAAGAAAATGTCCATTTTCATTGAGCTTTCCGTCTTTCATTTACCTTGCCAGGGCTCACACATCTCATCGGATCGCCTTTTCTCCGGGCATACATGCATGGGTTTTTCATGGATATAAGACTCTACCACAAGGTAAATACAGACCTACAGCTCCTTTAGGTGGCTGAAGAGAGGCTGTCGCCCTTTCTTTTTGCACTTTTGTGAACACAGGAGTTATACAGGATCTGTGTGGTGCTATGTGGCTTTGGCACCATATTCATGGCACAGATGCTGCAAAATACTAATTCTTATTCATTTTTTCCTTCACTTTGTTATTTTAAAAAGGTGAAATTGATGGTAAATCCATTTGCTTATGAAGAGTACAGGAAAGATAAAATTCGACAGAAGATAGAAGAAACACGTGCACAGAGAGTCCAGCTCAAGGTAACAATGTACTTGACATTGAGTACTAAGTACAGTTAGTTTTCATTTTGTATTTCCTTAATTCCATCTTTTACTTACACTTCTGGTATGTGTTATTTGTGAGGTGAGTGGTAAGATGTTGTTGGAAATAATCTAGAGTACCTGTTGCTGTTACCTGTATGGAGAAACACGGGTGCAGTGTCTCAGGCCCTCTGAGTTGTGAGAAGGGTCAGTGCACTGTTGGGAAACAGCTGACACCATTAATGCTGGTAGAGAGGGATTCTCCTGAATGAGCCAGGTACTGGAGAACTAAGGTGTGGCCACTGCAGGAAGCAGCTGCCACCTCAGGGCTGGACCCAGACAGCTGAGAAGAGGCTGCAGGCTGGTACTCCTGAGCCATAACAAGGATGCCCCTGGGCATGTTGGAAACTGCACACTGGCGTCCACCGCCGCTGCTGCTGGAGCCACCTGTTGCTTCCATGGAGAACAACTGTTACTGTGTGATGCCAGCCCAGACACTGAGCAGACAGGGAGGAGCTTCCTGTCTGCCTGCTCACGCCTTCCAGTCTCCCTGGCGTCCTGTCGATTAAGTTCAATCACTGAGTGATACAGTTACTTAACAAGCTTAAAATACATACATGGTAAATATATAGGTAGCACTATACATTTTGTATATATACATATGCACACAGACACACACATATATGCTGTTTCAAGTGCAAAATATCAGTAACTGTTGTTTGTTATCTAGTACCTTTTCTATTTTCCAGACTATTTGTTCAGAACTTTATATACTATATATATATATATATATATATATAGTATGTATATATTATATGTAAGTATACACATACACACATATATTAGCTTACAAACAACCAGGGAGGATTTCATTGTGACAGGTCCACACGTTTCCACTGTCTTCTAATCAGCCTTCCTCTTTCACTCTCCCTGTGTCCCTGTCCCCTTGTATACAAGATTTTGAAGAGCAATAAGGGTGTGTGTGTGGGGGGTGTGGTGTGTGTGGTGTGTGTGTGTGGTGTGTGTGTGTGTGTGTGTGTGTGTGTCTGCCAGGTATCTCAGAGACCAGGATGTAGAGTGTTTTATCCTTGCTTTCATTATACTTGTCACAGCTGTATTTTACTTAGTGCACCATGGAACATAAAACAAGGAGGAAGAAGACAATAGATCTCTTAGCGCTTTAAGAGCTTTACCTGAAAAATTGTCACTCCCATCTACAATTCTGTAGAATTTTGCTAATCTGGGAGCAGGGAGCGGTGTGCAGTGTGCGTTAGCAGCACATTTGCAGACACCTGCACCTCCACCAGAGGCTGCAGCTCCAGACCTGCCAGCAAGCTGCTCTGCATGCTGGGGAGGGGCACAGGAAGATGAGTTCAGGCTGTGTGGCTTGCCTGATACCCTTGGATCTACATTGTTTCTTGCTCTGGAGAAATTTAAACATAAGAATTAAGCCAGGCTCTAGTGGTTCACACCTGTAAGCCTATCTACTACTCAGGAGGCTGAGATCTGATTATTTCAGGTGGAAGCAAGCCTGGGCAGAAAGGCCATAAGATTCTCATCTGCAATTAACCACCAAAAAGCTGGAAGTAAACTCCATTGGTAAAATACCAGCCTTGAGCAAAAAAACCTAGAGAGGGGTTGGGGATTTAGCTCAGTGGAAGAGCACTTCCCAGCAAGTGCAAGGCCTTTAGTTCTGTACTTGGCTCTGGGCGAAAAAATCCCAAGAGTGAGTGCCTAGACCCTGAGTTCAAGCCCCAGGATTGGCACACAAAAAAAAGAATTTGTGAAATTCCTCACATAACTATTAACCTTGAATGCTAAAATGTGGATATATTACAAGTTTTGTTTTTCATAGAAATTGCCAAAAGTGAACAAAGAGCTGGCCCTTAAGTTAATTGAAGAAGAAGAAGAGAAGCAGAAATCTACATTTAAAAAGAAAGTGAAGGTAAGATTTTCTAAGTTGTCTGGATAGTAATCTTTATCTTTCTTACTTATTTTACTTAATGCTTGTAGGATAGTTTCTTTTTTGTTGTATCCTTGCTTACTTACTTAAAAGGTAGCATCTAGTAAACATGAAAAGTTTGGAAAATAGGAAAAACGTGTCAAGAAGAAAACTATGTCAAGGAAAAATATCCATAATATTTAATCAATTTGCTTCCTGTCTTAATTCACTTAAAATTTTAAACTTCTACTAGCAAAATCATCTTGTATATGTTATGTTCTATAATATACCACAGGTGGTTTCCCATTGCATTAAAGTTCTTTTTAAGTATTTTAATGGCTATAGTCTGTCTTATGAATGTATTATAATTTACTTAATCTTTTCATTGTGAAGTTTTTAGATTGTTTAGTGTTTTTCTCTGTATTAACTAAGTTTGTTTTTCAGAATTGACTTTATTTTGTTGTTTTTGGCATTTCTGAAGTTTGAACTTCGCTAGCCTAGTAAAGTTAGGGAATTGGAATCTCAAGGACTTTTCTGCCTAGATTGTTTTGTTGTTGCTGTTGTTGTTTGTTGGTCATGGGGCTTGAACTTGGCCTGAGTGTTGTCCCTGAGCTGTTTAGCTCAAGGCAAGCACTCTACCACTTGAGCCGCTTCCAATTTTCTGGTGTTAATTGGAGATAAGAGTCTCAAGGACTTTTTTGCCCAGGTTGGCTTTGAACTGCAATCCTCATATCTCAGCCTCCTCAATAGCTAAGATTGCAGGTCTGAGCCATCTGTGCTCAGCCCAGTCTGTTTTTGAATCATGATCCTTCAATTCTGTCTCCTGAGTAGATAGGATAACAGACCTCAACCACCAACACCTGGCTCAAGTAGCCACCCCCACCCTTTTTTTTTAAATTAAGCCTTTGCATTACTGGGAGCACCCAGGCTGACATGCAGTTACTCCCTACTTTTCTGATGTGACAATAGACCCAAATGAATCATATAATGAATAAGGGTTAGTGCTTTGTTTAGTTGGTGGTGTCCTGAGAAGAGACTTTTATAGTTTTCCAGATATATAAGACTTCCTGGGTCCTCTCCAGCCCTGTTTTCTTATCTGCTTGGAGCAGGCAAGCAGAGAACCAGGTGTAGTTATGCATAGCCAGACTGTGAGAGCCTGTAGCACCTGTGTCTTCAAGGAAGGGACCTGCCTTCTAGATCTGGGCCAACCTGAGGAGCTCTCAGGAGGTTTTTAGTTCCTTCTTTCTCTGCTCTCTGCTTTTGAAGCAGGTAACTGAATTGGAGCGAGTGAGCTCTTGTGCATCTCAGTTTCAATTCCTCCTTCATCAGAACCAGAGTCTGCTTGTATAGTGGTAGATGACTCCCTTAGCTTTGAAGTGTCCGTTTCTTCTGGAACATGAAAGGACAGATGGGATATGCTTTGCTGTGGCTTGTATGTCAATTCAGACTCATGACTCTCTTGCTGGCCTCTCGTCCTCAGCCTCTTCCAGCATTCCTTCATCCTAGTCTAGTATATTCTCTCCCCCCTCCTTTTTGGCCTGGGCACTGTCCCTAAGATGTTTTTGTGCAAGGCTAGTACTCTACCACTTGAGCCACAGCTCCATTTCTGGCTTTTTCTGAGTAGTTTATTGGAGATACAAGTCTCACGGACTTTCCTGCCCAGGCTGGCTTTGAACCTCAGTCCTCATATCTGAGCCTTCTGAGTTGCTAGGATTACAGGCATGAGCCACCAGCACCCAGCCTAGTAGATTCTCTTAATGTATGATTTAAATCAATTTTTGGAAGGCTTAAGTAAATAAATAGATGGCTTTTGTGTTCCCTTTTTCATTACATGAATAATATGCCAGTGCTGAACAGTGACAGACTTATATTTAAAATTTATGTCTGTAACATATTGTGTCTCTGCACCACTGTGTGTAAGTGTATGAGTATACCTTCAAGCAGTAAGATGTGAGCGTTTCTTGCTCTGTGACTTTCAGCATCCATGCTGCCTGAGGATGGCTGGGATATACCTTCCCAGCTGCACGTTGTCACCTTCCTGAGCTCACCTTCCCGAGCTCAGTGGAAGTAACCCACGTGCCAGAAGCATTCTCAGGAAGAGAGCAGGGGAGAGCACAGGCTGGAGGCATGTGCATTCCGTGTATGTCTTGTGCTCAGGCTTTTTTTTCGGGGTGGGGGATGAGGTCCAGTGGTAGGGCCTGAACTCTGGGCCTGGGCGCTGTCCCTCAACTCTTCAGATCAAGGCTAGCGCTCTACCACTTGAGCCACAGCACCACTTCTGGCTTTTTCTGCTTAAGCGGTGCTGAGGAATTGAACCCAGGGCCTCATGCATGCAGGGCAAGCACTCTACCACTGAGCCACCTTCCCAACCCCATGCTCAGGCTTTTAAGCCCCACATGGCTTAAAAGTTACAGAGGGGCTCTGTTTTCATTTTACTTCTACACCAGACCCTTTCACGAGGCTCCATGGTTGTACAGATGTAGGAGCTCAGCCTCATTGTTCCCCTTTTCTGTGAGGGACTTGAGGTTGACAGGATACACATTAGAGCAGGATGGGCTAGATGACATGAGAGTCAGAAACAAGCAAAGTGGTCCTCGATCCTGTTCATCAGTGGGAGAAATCACCAACCTTTAATGGTTTTCTTAAAACCTTAGAAATTCTTTTACTGTCCTTTATAAATATGTAGCTAACTAAGAAAATTAGAGTCTATTTAGTATACTGCAACACATTAGAAACAAAGTATATTTAAGTGCTTTGTTTAGTTTTGTTGTTGTTGGTTGTGGGGCTTGAACTCTGGGCCTGGACGCTGTCCCTCAGTTCTTCAGCCCAAGGTTAGCACTCTATCACCTGAGCCACAGCGCCCTTCCAGTTTTTTGGTGGTTTATTGGAGATAAGAGTCTCAGAGACTTTCCTGCCTGGGCTGGCTTTGAACCGTGATCCTCAGATCTCAGCCTCCTGAGGATTATAGGCGTGAGCCACTGGCACCCGGCATATTTTATTTTTGTAAAGAAAAGAAAAGTAAAAAAACAAAACACTTATCCAGAGTATTTTTGAGACAGTGAGTGCTTTAGTAAGAGCCAGCACTGTTTTCTCCCTTAGCCAGAGATCCAGGGTCTGGGTGAAATTCACAAGTTTTATCCCTGTCCTGTCTCCCAGAGCTCCATTAAGATAAAGGCTTTTTACCCATGTTACTCCCACAGGAACATTGCCCTTCTTTGCCACAGCCCTCTTCCTCATTCACCTTGCTGTGACTTTGTATCAGCATCCTGCTTTCCCATAGTCAGCTCTTCTCCTGTTCTCTCTGCCTCCTTCCTTCCCCTCCCTCTCTCTCCTTTCACTCCTTCTCCCTCTCCATGTCCCTCTGTTTCCTGCTACAGTTTCATCTTTCTTGTCCATTTCTTTCTCAATTACCATTTTTGTGAAATGTTGCCTGCGTTTGCCTTTTGGATACAAGGCAAAATAACAACTGGTGCCTCCAGATTATGGGAACTGACCGCTTAAACTCAAGAACCAGTCACCAACAAGCTTTGAAAGGTGTGCCATTGTAGACCACCGATCATGTACCCATCTAGTACTTACCTAGGGATTTATGGGAGCTTTTGTTATGCAAATACTCAGCAAACCACGTTGTAAATCTGTGGGTGCTTTGTGAGTACAATACCTGCCCTGAATATTATCTGCAGTGAAATCCGTGTCTCAGATTCTCAGTTTCATAATGTCATTTTATAAGGTCAGTGGAAGTGATCTTTGTGTTCACATACCTAGGAGCTTCCAAAGGAAGAAGAGAGCTCATTTTTTTCTAGTTCACAGTCAAGATGGCATTTGTTTATTTTGGATCCAAGTTATTTGAAGTATATCCTGCAAATACTCATTGACTGGCTACTGTTTCTGCTACAGGTGTAAGGAGGAAGAACCATAAAAGAGTTTACCTTCTATTGAAGAGCCATTTTTTTTCTTCCTGGCTATTTGGAGCCATGGGTCCTGGTAACAGAATTTTTCTAGAAAGAAGTATTTGTACAATGTGCCCTGGATTTGCTTTTTGTTGACTTGCTAATACAAAACAGGCCCTGTTAGCCAAGCTCACTTTCATTCGAGAAATGACACAGTATATAGTCTTCCAAAATTGAAGCTGTTTCTAGAAAAAAAAACTAGGCACTGGTGGTCCTGCCTATAATCCTAGTTACTCCGGAAGCTGGGATCACAAGGATTGAAGTCCAAAGCCAATCTAGGCAAAAAAGACTGAGAGATAGCATCTCTGGAATAACCAGCTGAAGGCGTGGTTGGAGGTAGGGCTCAGGTGGTAAGATCACAAGCTGAGTGAGAGACCCTGAGTTCAGACCTCACTACCACAAAAAAGAATAAGAAAAGTTTATATCATTTTGTTGTTTATCAGTTTTATCTTATGTAAAATGAAGCTTTTAAATCACTCCTGAGTGAAGGAAAAAATCTTTCATTATAATTATAAAGAATACTTCAAAGAATTACTAATCTATTAGCAGGTCAGCAGTCTTGCTTTTGAAACGAGGTCTTCAAAACCTCCAGAGCTTTACAGCCCAATATCTCCTAACTTGAAAGTTAGTATCTTGCAGGGCTGTTCTGTTTAGGCTGCTACTGGAATTAAATGGAAGCAGACAGAAATATGCTCCCAAACATTGCTACCACTGATAACATAGTAAAAGTCTAATAAGCTGTTTACCGTACAGTTGATGTACAACCCACAATGAGAAGTGACCCACCACATAGTGTCAATAAGCGTTATCTGGATGTTATCCAAACAATGCTAATTAGGAACTAATCATTCTTTTAGCAAATACATATGTTCAGTTGGCCAAATGCTTTGAGTTGCATGGGTGTCTTTGATCTGTTTGATTTGAAAGGTTTGGGTGCTTAGAGCCATTTTCTGCAGGTTAGCCTTCACGTCACTATGTGACTGAACTCTTCGTAGGTTCTGCAGCTTGGTCAGGCTGAGATCAGCATCTGAGATCTCCAGACTGTGTGTGTTC